CCAAGCGCTCTACCACTGAGCCACCTTCCCAGCCCTTGTTTTACTTTTTCATCTTCTACTGTTTAATGCATTTATTCAATTGGCTTGACATGAAGTTAGAGATGTGTTGTAAATGTTTTCAAAAAGAGAAAAAGAATTGCTAATTAGAAAGTGATTGCTCTATCAACAAATATATTCAGTATGTTGGAATATGTACATACATATTGTGTTTTATAGCTTTATGCACCTGGTTTTTTAGTACTGAGGTTTTTAATTTTTTATACCCAACTTGATCTGTTAGGTATGGCTTGTGGCTGATTAAGAGCATTGCAGAGCCTAACTTATTTTTTAATAGTAGAGATCTCTTCAGCAGCTTGTTACTGCTTTTCCACTTGGCTACTGAAATTAGTTTCTTCAGAATACCTTTTGACAGACTTTGACATTTTTGTCAGTTTGAAAGATTATTTTTTCTTTAATGAAAAGAGAATCCTGGGTGCCACTGGCACATTCCTATCATCCTAGCCACACAGGAGTCTGAGAACTGAGGATCCTATGTGGAAGCCAACTCAGGAGGGTAAATCTGAGAGACTAACCTGCCAAAAAGGCATAAGTGGAGGTGTGGATCAAATGGTAGAATGCCAGCCTTGAGCAAAAAAAAAAAAAAAAAAAAAAGCTAATCAAAAGCCTAAAGCCCTACATTTAAATCCCAGTACTAACCGGGTGCTGGTGGCTCACGCCTGTAATCATAGCTACTCAGGAGGCTGAGATCTGAGGATCACAGTTCTAAGCCAGCCCAGGCAGGAAAGTCCGTGAGACTCTTATCTCCAATAAAAACCACTCAGAAAACCGGAAGTGGCGCTGTGGCTCAAGTGGTAGAGTACTAGCCTTGAGCTGAAGAGCTGAGGGACAGTGTTCAGGCCCAGAGTTCAAGCCCCATGACCAACAAAAATAATTAAAAAATAAAATAAAATAAATAAATCACAGTAATGGCAATAAATAAATATCCTGTGAATTATTTTAAGCATATAGTATCTAATTGCAAAATAATATATTGAAATCCAAATGAACCAGAATTTATTCTAATTGAATCCCAAGGTTTAAGGTTAAGCATACATAGTTGTTGCATATATAGCATTTTAGGACACTTGAGTCATACAGCTTTGAACTCCCAGATTTGTCTTTCCTAATATTTTATTCCTGCCTGAAAGAAGTTGTACCTGTGGAGCTCAACTTGGTTGTGGTCATGGTCTGTCTTTGTTTTATTTGTTTGTTTGTTTGTTTTTGGGTCTGGTCATGGGGCCTGAACTCTGGGCCTGGGCACTGTCCCTCAGCTCTTCAGCTCAAGGCTAGCGCTCTACCACTTGAGCCACAGCGCCACTTCTGGCTTTTTTCTTTTTGCTTATGTGATGCTGAGGAGTCGAACCCAGGGCCTCTGGCATGCATAGCAAGCGCTCTGCCACTGAGCCACCTTCCCAGCCCTGTCTTTTGTTTTAATGTGTGTGTGTGTGTGTGTGTGTGTGTGTGATGTCTTTCAGTTTTGCAGCTGCTGTTTGCCCCAAAATGAAAATGTATATTATATTTTTATTATTAATATTATTTGTAGAACTTACCAATTGAACCCAGAGACTTGCATATGCTTAGCAAGGGCTCCACTAAGCTACATCCCTAACTCTTATTTTCATTTTGAGACAGGAACTAATGAAATTGGGTTGTAGGCATGCTCCATGCCTGGCATGTACAATACTTGTAAAAAATCAAATGCCAGAACATTCATTTGTGTTTCTCAGTTAGAGAATGTGTAGATAACTATAGAATTTTCTCCTTAGTTTTAATTCTGTAAGTGCTTAAGCATTTTAAATCTTATTTTTTAATGATCAGTTTTAATAAGATTGTTCGTCTTACTATCAGTATGTCCATATTATATTACGTTCTTACTATGCTATAAATGGAGTAAAACTATTCATTACCTGCCAAACAAGGCAAGCACAGTAGCATTCGTTTTCTTCTCATTCCCCAGATAGCCCCAGGGCTTGCTCCCATGGTTACCTCAGGTCTAGTCCAGAAATCAGTAGGTTGCATTTCTGCCACCTCAGGTGACCTGAGGAGAATTAGATTTCATATCTGGGGAATGAAGATGAGTTGCTTCTATTTACTTTTGGCATCAATAATCATTCTTCCCTTTAGTTTCTCTCTCTCACTTAAATATTTCTCTATTTTAATAATTTTCCCCCTAACTCTATGTGACTATACAATAGAATCTGTCAACCATTTTACTGACCACTTTGGTTTTATTGATTTGGAGGCAACCTTAGGAATAAATTAGTATTTTCAGTTTTTTTCTTTTAAGGTAATATAATTATAGCAGACAAATTTCTTGCATTCCTATCCACCAGGAGTAACTTACTGAAAGAGAGAGGGTGTGTGTGTGTGAGAGAGAGAGAGAGAGAAAATGTACAAATACTGTGTATGTAGTATATCAGAGGTGCCTCCTCCTGTCAGCTTAGGGACCACCATATGACCTAGCTCTTGCTTCTCTTGCTGTGTTGCATTTCTGGCTTGCCAATTCTGCCTCACCATCTGTGATAAACCGCTCTTTTTCCCTCTTTGTTGCCAGCAGTGCGCTCGCACACAGCCCATTCCAGACCTCTTTTCCAGGCTTACTGTTTTCCAACGAGAAGAAGAAACAGACTGAAGAATTCAACCATGTCCTCAGGAAACTCTTCTAACACCAATACTCAATTTCTTGACCCATCTCAAAAGGCCACATTACAATGGGAAATAATAAATCAGCTATTTTACTGTCAATATTTTCTTCCAGCCCATTTGCTTATGTGGACCCCTTGCACTGTAACATGGCCTATTTATACCTTGAGCTTCTCAAAGACTCACTCAACGAGTATGCATATGCAGCAGAGCTAGCAGACTTGAGCTATGACCTCCAAAATACCATCTATGGGATGTATGTAAGTACCCACGTCTTGGAGCCTTCCACTCATCAACATTTTTATATTGATTTGATGGAAGCATTTTTAATTGAGGGTAATACTTTTTCTTTTTAAAAAAAATCTTCATGGCTAATCATATTTTTATTTAATTTTTAAGTTAGCTTTAAGTTTTCTGCCACATACATTCATATTATGCAGATTTTCCTTGTTTTTTTTAACATCTTTCATCAGATTGTCATATTTTTCTCCTCAAACAAAGTTGGACCCCATTATGATTCTGAAGTCTTGATCTTCAGCAAACCAAAATGGAGTCTTCTTTGTACAACATAAGTTGGCCTATACTGTTTCCCTAGAAATCCAGATCATGAGGCTGCATATCCATACTCTTCGGTCATGTTTCTTCATTACCATGCCACTGCCTGAGGTATCAAAGCATTTCTTTTGTTTTTCTTTTTTGTTAGTCGCTACATTTATGCTGATCCTCTCCATTGCAACATGACATACCTGTTTATCAGGTTATTGAAGGATGATTTAAAAGAGTATACATATGCAGCACGCCTGTCAGGTTTGAGCTATGGCATTGCATCAGGAATGAATGCAATACTTGTAAGTAAAATGGAAACCAAAGAAAAGGCACCACATCATTTAAGCTTTCCATTGAGCTTGGGAAAACTATTAACTTCTGCATTCTTAAACAAGAAGGTTGATGGTTTTTCCTCCTTGCACCTTTTTGAAGAACTCAAATTAGTATTAGTTCCACTAATAAATGAATGGTAAAACTTCACGCATCTTGTGAACATGTATGTGTGCTACATTTTTTGCATGTTCTGCTTGAGATGTGTAACATACTAATCCTAAAAGCATGATTTTCTTTCCATGTATTTGAATATATTTTCATTAGTAAGTAAAAAAGATCCATAGGTATTACTGTAGTGCTTGAACCTTACTAATCTACAAGCTTCTTTTATTTCTATGGACAGTAGAGAAAGTTCCTGTGTTCACATACATCTGACAATTAATTTTGTTGCATGCATCATTAAGTATTTTACATGTGTTATAACTCTTAAGTGTTTCTGACATATTTCCAGCCTTGATTAGCTCTGTTTCAAATTAACATCCCTTCTATGGCACACATTCATTTTCACTTTTATTAAAAACATATGTCTTAATAAAAACTAAAATGGGACAATTTCTGAATATCTTTTTTTAATAAAAGTCTTACAGAATATTTTTAGAGTTCTTTATTTTGCAGTGGATTTTATCAAAACAAATATTCTAGTAACTTTTGTTTTTGAGTAGTTATTCTGCAGCTATAGGCTTGAAACTCAGAGGATCAAAATTAACTTCAAATAGAAAAATAATAATCAGTTTTCTGTTTTTGCTATTGATTTTTTTCTTTCAGTTTTTATAAAGGTGATGTACAGGTGGGTTGAGGTTCTATAAGGTAGTGAGTACATTTCAGTGTTACCCCCTCCCTCATTTTCTCCAGCTTTCCCTCCTCTGCTATATTTTTAACAGAATAATACCATTAAGATAAATAATTTTTATTTATGGTAAAGGGGCTTCCTGTTGGTCTCTCTAGTGTATATGGAACCTGACATGCCTTCGGTAGCCGAGTATCTTCTCTCCTGCTGAAGTTCTCACTTGCCATCCTTCACATGATAGAGACTTTCAGAGTATTCAGTTGTAGTGTTGTGGGTGCCACTCTGTGAGAAGACAATAGCAGCAATTCTCTATTCCCTGAGTTTCAGGCTACCTGTGAGATTTGGCTTTCAGAGATTATTTAAGTAAATTGTTCCAAGGCAAAATGCTGAGACCTGGAGTGTGTCCTCCCTATGTGTTTGTTTTGCCATTGGCTTTTAGAGCATCAGTAGATGCTGAAAAACTAATCAGTACGCAGGTGGTTAGAATCATGGGTGCTTTTAGGGTAACACTGAATGAGAGTAGCACAATGCTATGCAGTATAAATTGAGGCTGCCTAGTTTTTCCCAAGATGATTTTATGTGCTGGTACTGGGGCTTGAACTCATTTTGTTGCTGAACTTTTTTCTTTTTTGTCCGCCATGGGGCTTGAACTCTGGGCCTGGGTACTGTCCCTGAGCTCTTCAGCTCAAGGCAAGCACTCTACCACTTGAGCCATAGTGCCAATTCCGGTTTTCTAGTGGTTCATTAAAGATAAGAGTCTCAAGAACTTTCCTGTCTGAGCTGGCTTTGAACCACAATCCTCAGATCTCAGCCTCAGCTCTTCAGTTGTCCCTCAGCTCTTCAACTCAAGGCTAATGCTCTACTACTTGAGCCACGGCACCCACTTCTGGCTTTTTCTGTTTATGTGGTGCTGAGGAATCGAACTCAGGGCCTCATGTTTGTGAGGCAAGCACTCTACCACTGAGCCACCTTCCCAGCCCCTTAAGTTTTTAAATATAGTCTGGGACCTTATCTAACAGGTGCCATTCCCCTGTGATTTATTTTTAAGATAAAACTTAGGGCTACACAAGTTGCTCAATGGTAGGACACATGCTTAGCAGGCTTGAGGCCCTAGGTTCAATGCCTGGCATCAAGATAAAACTTAAGCACATTCTGTAGTGAAGTTTGACATGTAGTATGTGTCACCATAGTCTGGCCCAGGTGAGTTTACTTGCCATTGACTTTGTTTAGGAAAAGCACAATTATGCATTGAGTATCACTTAATCTAAATTGTGTGGTAAATGTCCTTTATGTTAAGCTATTTATGGAAGTTAAATTCATTGAATTTCTTGCTAGTTTGTCATTTTAATATAGCTGGCTTTGAGACTTTCTGAATGTTGTAAAAAATCAAACTTTAAGATGAAAGGTATTGGGTATTTTTAGTCTTTTTTTTGAATTTTTTTTTGGGGGGGTCCGGTTATGGGCCTGAACTCTGGGCCTGGGTGCTGTCCCTCCGCTCTTCAGTTCAAGGCTAGCGCTCTTCCACTTGAGCCACAGTGCCACTTCCGGCTTTTTTCCTTTTTGCTTATGTGGTGCTGGGGAATCAAACCCAGGGACTCACGCATGCAAGGCAAGCGCTCTACCACTGAGCCACCTTCCCAGCCCCCTTGAATTTTTTTATTGTTATTACAAAGGTGATACACAAAGGGGTTACAGCTACATAAGTCAGGTAAAGAGTACATTCTTTTTGGACAATGTCACCCCTTCATTATCTCACAGTTTCTCTTACCTGCCCCCACCCACAAGTTGTATAGTTCATTTTCAATATAGTGTCTATTGAGTACCAGTGCTGCATTTGTTCGTCCTTTATCCCTGCATTTCTGTGCCTCCCCTTACCCTCCCAAAGACAGATAAAGGAACAAACAAGACAAAATGAAAAGGAAAGAAAAACAGCAACAAAGAAAAAAAAAAACCTCTATTTCCTGGAGTTCATTTCAATAAATATTATTTTGTATGATCAGATGTAGATAGGCATTTCACCTTTGTGTTCCTCTCCTAAGAGTCTCCTCTTTTGTTCTCACTGTGTGTATATGTCTAAAGTCCTGCATAATATTTTTAGACTTTTAATAACCTGAACTCTTCCTGTAGCTCTCCGTGAAAGGCTACAATGACAAGCAGCCAATTTTGCTCAAGAAGATTACTGAAAAAATGGCTACCTTTGAGATTGATAAAAAAAGATTTGAAATTATTAAAGAGGCGGTAAGTTTTATAACTCATTTTATGATGATTTTTATTCCAAAAGTAATATTGTCATATCCTGAAAACTTCTTATGATGGGGAGGGAGCACAACACTTGGTGGTGTTTTGTTCATCTCATCTAATCTTGGCTAAATCCTAGCTGCTACTCATAGAAAGTCCCACAGCCCTCTGCACCTGCTTTCTCTGTGGGCTTACGAGCCAGGACGTGCGGTGCTTACTCTCAAATGGCAGCACATGGAAGTGTGGTTCGTCTGCCCTCCATTTCAGGCACACTTTTTAAGTTCATGTCGCATTTTGTTCAGCTCTGGAAGTATGGAGTGGATGCTTTAAGAGACTAACTATGTCCATCATGTGTTTTTAATTGAGGATCAGGTATATACCTATCCATGTTTCTCCCTGGTAGATGGGTATGGTCCTGTGTGTAGTATCTAAGGAGGCTAGAAGACAGAGACCCTGAAAACTGGAGCTAACTTTCTAAGGGATGAAAGATGTGCATAGTGGAAGCATGGAGAGTGCATATCAGATACCAGGTCACAAGATCCAGCCTGGACAATAAAAAAGCATGTCATTTAGTTTAAGGATTAGCAAGGAATTGGTCCCATTCTTAATTATGAATATCAAGAGGTGAATAAGTAAATAATCCTGCATCCCAGTATCCCAGTAACATATAGAATTGAAGTTTGTTTATAACCGGGTTTTTTGAAGATGACTTTAAAAAAATTTGTGCAACTAATGAGCCCATATCTTCCTTCACTAGTATATGCGGTCTCTTAACAATTTCCGGGCTGAGCAGCCGCACCAGCATGCCATGTACTACCTCCGCCTGCTGATGACTGAAGTGGCCTGGACTAAGGATGAGTTAAGAGAAGCCCTAGATGGTGAGACTTGCGCAAACCTAGTATCAGCTTCATGTTTGTCCTAACATCTTTCTAGTTTTGTTTTATTTTGGGTCCGGTTATGGGGCCTGAACTCTGGGCCTGGGCGCTGTCCCTCAGCTCTTCAGCTCAAGGCTAGCGCTCTACCACTTGAGCCACAGCGCCACTTCCGGTTTTCTGAGTGGTTTTTATTGGAGATAAGAGTCTCACGGACTTTCCTGCCCGGGCTGGCTTTGAACCGCGATCCTCAGATCTCAGCCTCCTGAGTAGCTAGGATTACAGGCGTGAGCCACCAGCGCCCGGCTTGTAATCATAACTTTTCAGAGTCTAAGGATTATGGCTCAAAGCCAGTCCAGCAGAAAAGTCCTCAAAAGTGTCTCCAATTAGTCACCAAAATAATAACAATAATAATAATTAAAAGGCCGGGTAATAGGCAGTAGACACATACTAAGAGCATAATATTGTACAAGAGCCCAAATAAAAGGGATAAAAGAAGGATATAATCACTGCTCACAAAGGATTTAGGATTTTCAGCTGCACTAGCGCCTTGTTCCTGTAATCCTAGCTATTCAGGAGGCTAAGATCTGAAAGTCACAGTTCAAAACTAACCAGGACAGAAAGTCTCTGAGATTTCTGTCTCCAATTAGCCAGCCAAAAAGCTGGCCGGAGTGGAGCTCAGAGGGTAGAGCACCAGCCATAGGGAAATGACCTTTGACATAGCTTTGACATTTAGACAGTAGAACTACATTTGCTTGGTGTATACAGTCAGTGATTACTGTTCATAGGTTTCGGCAGTTGACCAAATACTCTGACCCTACCACTTACCTTGTTAATATTGAAGTTTTCAGAAAAAGGAAAATGGGTTGAGTTTGAAAGTTTTACAAACAGAAGTATTTAGGCTGTCTTCAATGACAAAGCAAAAGTAAAGTACTGAAAGCCATTGGTTGTCTCAGGCATTGAATAGGAAATTATAAAACTCAGTAGCATTTTTAAAATTTGGACAGTTAATGTACTTTCCTTTGCAAAATGATCATGTGCTATTAATAGCAAAAATGTTTATCTTAAAAACATAATTGACAAATATTCCCAAGCTGTGCATGGTGGCTCATGTTTATAATTTTAACATGAGGCTGAGGTAAAAGGATCATGAGTTGGAGGCCAGAACTCCATCTCAGAAAGAAAAATAGCCAGGTGCTGGTTACTCACGCAGGAGGCTACGATCTGAGGTTCATGGGTCAAAACCAGCCTGAGCAAAAACGTCTGTGAGACTCTTATCTCCTATTAATCACCAAAAAGCCAAAAGTGGAACAGTGGTTCTAGGGTAGAGCACTAGGCTTAAGCAACAAAGCTCAGGGACAGTGCCCAGGTCCTAGGTTCAAGCCCCAGTTCTGACACACACATACACACAAAAAGAAAGCAAAATAGCCAGATACTGGTGGTTCATACTTGTACTCTTAGCTACTCATGAGGCTGAGATCTGATGATCAAGGTTCACAGAGAATGTACACACATACACACACACACACATATGTACATTTACTGTACCTACTACATATGTCTACATGGTACATATATATGTATATGTATGCGTAGTATATCTCGGCGTTTATTTATTTATTTATTTTTGTCCTGTTGTGGGGCTTGACCTCTGGGCCTGGGCGCTGTCCCTCAGCTCTTTAGCTCAAGGCTAGTGCTCTACCACTTGAGCCACAGCGCCACTTCCAGCTTTTTTCTTTTTGCTTATGTGGTGCTGAGGAATTGAACCCAGGGCCGCATGCAAGGCAAGCGCTCTACCACTGACCCACCTTCCCAGCCCGTCGGCGTTTAGTTTTTAAGTCTGGATTTCTCAGCTTTTTTTAGTTATGAGATGAATTACCATGAGGATAAATAGAGGGTGAAGTACCCTAAATACTAGAGGAACTCTAAATCAAATTATCTCAGATATGAATTTTTTAGGCTAGTGATATAGTTCAAGTGGTAGAACACTTGCCTAGCAAGCTCAAGGTCTTGTGTTCAATCCCCAGTACCACCTCCAAAACCAAGTCTTTGTTTTTTAAGCTTGTAATTGCTCTTATTCTTTCTTTCTTTCTTTTTTTTAATTGTGAAAATAATGTACAGAGGAGTTACAATTACATGGGCAAGATAACGAGTACATTTCTTATCAAGCATTGTTGCCTCTTCTTTTTTTCCCCTTCCCATCCCTTCCCATCCTCCCCCTACCTCCCCACTTATTATTTCTTATTCCTTTACAGATGTCACTCTCCCTCGCCTTAAGGCCTTCATACCTCAGCTGTTGTCACGGCTCCACATTGAAGCTCTTCTCCATGGAAACATAACAAAGCAGGTGAGGGATAAAGGTTTTCAGCTTGTAAAAACTGTAAGTGATTTTTAATTCTCGTCTGTTAACCAGCACAGTGAATTCTCTACTCTGTGGAAGAAGGTATGAGAGGGCACGGGGCAATGGAATGATGTGGTTCACTGAAGACCTACTTTCATGGCTGCTTCCACTCCTGTAGTTGGACTCATGCAATCATAGGGGAAATAGAAATATTCATCCCTACTCTGTACAGGGGCACATAATGCAAGATTAGCCAGCCTGCATTCAGATCCTGACCTGCCATTTACTGGCTCTATAATCTTAGGAAAATGTCTTAACTGTTCCATTTCTTTATCTATAAATTTAGAGTGTAAATCTGCCTGCATCATGGGTTAGCGGGATTAATGGCAAGGCTTAGCACAGGAAAGCACAACGTAATTTCTATGGCTGTCTCAGGAGCTCTCCCGCTCTACGACTCTGCTATATTGCCTCCAAAACAATATGCTAAGAACAGGATGCTTTGTTGTGACCCCAGGTGTCCATGGTTAAGAGATCAGCTTGCCATTACCAGTATCCTTACAGCTTTGGCAGTGGTCCATATTAACATCAAGTGGACTACTCTTAGACCTGTCTTTATTACTACCATATAGACTTACACATTCAATTTTTGTCAATTTGAATAGGATTAAATAAATTTAGAGCCTTAAGATCCATTTTTTTTTTTTTTGTCAGTCATGGGGCTTAAACTCTGGGCCTGGGCACTGTCCTTGTGCTCTTCAGCTCAAGGCAAGCACTGTACCGCTTGAGCCACAGCACTACTTCCAGTTTTCTTGCAGTTTATTGGAGTCTCACGAACTTTCCTGCCCGGGCTGGCTTTGAACCACGATCCTCAGATCTCAGCCTCCTGAGTAGCTAGGATTACAGGCATGAGCCACTGGCGCCCTGCTAAGATCCATTTTTATGGTCAACTAAGCTACTTTATTTCAGAATCATGTTTCTTTTTTTTTTTTTTTTTAATCAGTCATGGGGCTTAAACTCTGGGCCTAGGTGCTGTCCCTCAGCTCTTCAGCTGAAGGCTAGCACTCTTCCACTTGAGCCACAGCACCACTTCTGGTTTTCTGGTGGTTAATTGGAGATAAGAGTTTTGTGGACTTTCCTTCCAGAGCTGGCTTTGAACTGTGCCCCTCAGATCTCAGCTTCCTGAATAGCTAGGATTACAGGCGTGAGCCACCGGCGCCTGGCTTCATGTTTCATTTTTATTTTGCAATGACTATCTAATCTACTGTTTTTATTTTCACAGACAAGGTATGTTTGTCTTCTTTTGTAATGAGCTATAACATGTCATTTACCCCAGGCTGCATTAGGGATCATGCAGATGGTTGAAGATACCCTTATTGAATATGCCCATACCAAGCCTCTACTTCCAAGTCAACTGGTTCGATACAGAGAAGTTCAGCTCCCTGACAGTAAGTTGAATGTTAGAACTTTGGAATAGATTATTTTTAGGTCATAATATGGATGATTACAGCTGAGTTGAATTCACTTAGACATAACATGGTTTTGTGGCAGAGATCCACTGGGAAGTCTCAATTATTTATAGGAGTATAATTAGAGATAGATAATTCTATCAGAAAATTCTCTGGCATGAGAGCCAAAAAAGTGAATTTGTAGCTGGGAGCCAGTTGTTCATGCCTATAACTCCAGTTACTGAGGATTTGAGGATTTCAGTTCAAAGCCATCCTGGGCTGGCTGGAAACTCAGTGAGATTCTTTTTTTTTTTTTTTGGGTCCGGTCGTGGGGACTGAACTCTGAGCCTGGGCGCTGTGCCTCAGCTCTTCAGCTCAAGGCTAGCGCTCTACCACTTGAGCTACAGCACCACTTCCAGCTTTTTTCTTTTTGCTTATGTGGTCCTGAGGAATTGAACCCAGGGCCTCAGGCATGCAAGGCAAGCGCTCTACCACTGAGCCACCTTCCCAGCCCCATCAGTGAGATTCTTATCTTATCTCTGAGTAACCACCAAAATGCCAGAAATGGAGCTGTGGCTCATGTGGTAGAATGCTAGCTTTGAGCAGAAAAGCTCAGAGACAGCGTCTAGGCCCTGAGTTCAAGCCCGAATACTGGTATACACACACACACACATTCACACAAAGGAGAATTTGGAGGTAGACAATTATTTTGAAGAGAATACTAAAATTGACTGGTACCTAGTGTAGAGGAGTTAGGAAGTGAAGTATCTCAAAGGTAAAGAGAGATTGGCTGTAAGACATGAAATAAAATTTATATTAAAAAATGGAAATCTGATGGGGCTGGGAAGTTTGCTCAGTGGTAGAGTGTTTGCCTCCCATGCACGAGGCCCAGAGTTCGATTCCTCAGCACCACATAAGCAGAAAAAAGCCAGAAGTGACACTGTGGCTCAAGTGGTAGGGTGCTAGCTTTGAGCTGAAGAGCTGAGGAACAGCGCCCAGGCCCAGAGTTCAGCCCCCACAACCTACCAAAGAAAAAAAAAAATGGAAATCTGAATTACAACATTTCACTAGAAGCCCATAAGAATCTTCAGCAGAAATAGTTTTGGGATTGTTACCAATGTGGCTAACAGCATGTCTTTGTTACGTGCTTTTAAAGGGAATAAACATAAAAGTTAATTTTATTCATGTACTGGGGTTTGTTATACTGGATTACTTTATATTAAAAGTGATTACTTTTTTTTTTTCTGTTTTCTTTTTCTGTCGGTTGTGGGGCTTGAACTCTGAGCCTGGGCACTGTCCTGAGCGCTTCAGCTCAAGGTGAGCGCTCTACCACCTGAGTCACAGCACCACTTCTGGTTTTCTGGTGGTTAATAAGAGTCTCACAGACTTTCCTACCCACACTGGCTTTGAACCATGATGCTCAGATCTCAGCCTCCTGAGCAGCTAGGATTAGAGGTGTGAGCCACTGGAGCCCGGCTTAACAGTGATTTCTTTTGATACAAAACTCAATAAATATTGTTTTAATGTTGCTCAAAACTGTTTAATGCTATACTTGTTGCTTACACCTATAACGCTAGCTACTGAAGAGGCTAAAATCTGGAGGTTTGAGGCCAGCTTAGGCAGAAAAGCCCAAAAGACTGCCATCTACAAAATAACCAGCATTTTTCAAGTGGTAGAGTACCAGCCTAGCAAGCATGAGGCTCTGAGTTCAAACCCTAACAAAACAAAAAAACAAATAAAACCCTGCATTTGTCTTTGGGCAAAGCGAGACCCATTGAGAAACAAAATTTCAGAGAGAAATTTAACCTTTCTATCTCTTTTCACTCCACTTCTCCCTTTCTTTTCCTTTCTTAGGACTCTATCTTTTCAGCCTCCTAAATATCCTCTCAAATTGCCACTCGTTCAAAAATGGTTGTTTATATCCCTTTCTCGAAATGCTAAGTGTTAGGATGGGAGGGGGAAATGGGAAGAGAATGAAGGAAGGGGTGTCATTACCCAAAAAGAAATGTGCTCATTATCTATCTTACGAAACGGTAACCCCTCTGTACCTCACCTTAATAATAGTAATAATCTTTTTTAATGCCAGATATTTGGAAATCATTCTGATTTAGCCACTTACCTTTCATAGAAAAGAAAAGTTATGTGCTGTGAAGTAGGACACACTTTCGGATGTGTACAAAAAAGCTGGAAGTAGACAGGGTAGAACTTAGAGGCCATGTTCCCTCTGTCTTCTAAGAGGGAGCTTAGTACTGCCTGTTTACACTCAATAACTTAATAATTTAAGTAAATATAAGAGGAAGAAGTATGAACTTGAGGGGCTGGGAAGGTGGCTCAGTGGTAGAGCGCTTGCCTTGCATGCCTGAGGCCCTGGGTTCGATTCCTCAGCACCACATAAGCAAAAAGAAAAAAAGCCGGAAGTGGCACTGTGGCTCAAGTGGTAGAGCACTAGCCTTGAGCTGAAGAGCTGAGGGACAGCGCCCAGGCCCAGAGTACAGGCCTCATGACCGGACCCCCCCCCCAAAAAAAAAAAAGTATGAACTTGATATGGTAGTGCACATCCCTAATCCCAGAACTCTGGAAGATAAGGCAGGATGATTATAAGTTTGAGTGCTGCTTGGGCTACAATGAGATTCTGTCTCAAAAGTAAATAAATAGCAGGCAAATATAACATTGACTTTTTCTTTTCTTTCTTTCTTCTTTTTTTTTTTTTTTTAATGCTGCTCTTGGGGCTTGAACCCTAGGACTGGGTACTGTCCCTGAGCTTTTTTTTCTAATGGCTAACTCTACCACTTGAGCCACAGCTTCACTTCTGGCTTTTTGTTGGTTAATTGGAGATGAGAATTTCATGGACTTTCCCGCCCAGGCTGGCTTCAAACGGCAATCTTCAGATCTCAGCCTCTTGAGTAGCTAGGGTGATGACAGTTTTGAGCCACCTGTGCCTGACTAGCATTGACTTTATTAAATTCTAAATAATACATTTTTAAACCTGTTGTTCTCTTTTTGGAATTTTTCAGGAGGGTGGTTTGTTTACCAGAAGCGAAATGAAGTTCACAATAACTGTGGCATTGAGATTTACTATCAAACAGACATGCAGAGCACCTCAGAGAACATGTTTCTGGAGCTCTTCTGTCAGATTATCTCTGAACCTTGCTTCAATACCCTGCGCACCAAGGAGCAGCTAGGTAAGAAGGAAGTGGGGAGGGAGCAGGATGCCACAGACCTTAGTAAACACCCATGGTCCTCAAAAAACACTTTCCATGTGTAAGATCACCTGTCACAGTATCAGCATGCTATACTTGGAGAAGCTGTGACAACCTTGTTCTTAAGGAATACCCTTCTAAAAGATAAGCAACCCATATCTTACAGACAATAAAGCAGTTCTTAATGAGGTGATAATATTATATTATGTGCATGTCCATAAAGAGGACATTTGGGGTATAGAGAAGAGACTGCTAAGGGCAGACTTCACAGGTAGCAAGCTGGTGATCAAGCCTCCAGAAGAACTTAGAACCTGGCAGTGAGTATTGTCTCTCGTCTGTTGCTGTGTCATAAACCTGGAGCATATAAAAGGTACCTAATAAGTGTTCTCAGAATTTAAGGCACTGCTAGAAGTCTTTAAAATATAGCTGGACCCTGCTAGCTTGTTCCTGTAATCCTAGCTATTCAGGAGGCTGAGATCAGAGCATGGTAGTTTGAGGCCAGCCCAGGCAAAAAAAAATCCCCAAAAGTCTCTTATCTCCAGTTAAAGATTAGAAAACCAGAAGTGGAGCTGTGGCTCAAAGTGGTAGAGCATTAACCTTGAGCAAAAGAGCTCAGGGACAGGACTCAGGCTCTGAGCTCAAGCCCCACAGTCAACAACAACAACAAAAAGTCTTGGAAATCTTAACAGCTTTAATCAATGAGAAGTTCAGAGAAGCTCTCATAGTGACAGGGAAAGAGACAGTGAAAAAGGATTTGGTCTCTTAAGTATGTGGCTTTTTTTTTTGTGCCAGTACTGGGGCATGAGCTCAGTGCCTGAGCACTGTCCCTGAGCTTCATTTGCTCAAGGCTGGCACTCTACCACTTGAGACATTTCTGGCCTTTTCTGTTTATGTGGTGCTGAGGAATTGAACCCAGGGCTTCATGCTTGGTAGGCAAGCACTCCACTACTAGGCCACATTCCCAGCCCCCTCCTTTTTTTTTTTTTTTTAAAGAAACTACTTTTATTTATTTATTTTTGTTGATTATGGGGCTTGAACTCAGGGCCTGGGCACTGTCTTGAGCTTTTTCACTCACTCTAGTGCTCTACCACTTTGAACTATAGCACCACTTCTGTATGTGGCATTTTAAAAATAATCTCCATGCTAGATGGTAAACATCAAAACTAGTAAGTTGTCGATAGTCCTTCCCTTTAAAGAGCCTGCAGTGAAGCCAGTGCCAAATGCCCTTTGAGTGCATGGCCAGCCAGTGAGATCTTGGTAGACTGTGAAGTGTCTGGGGCATTAGGGTTATTAGCTTGCTCATTATTCATCTTCTGGGACAAGTGCTCCTGTGTGCAAACCATAGCCACCACTTCCTACTTTCCACCCATGCCTTCATGCTGGAATTCAAGGTGGCAGAGCCACCAAGGTAGGCAAGGCTGAGCTGTTTGCCTTTGAACACACTGCACCCATGTCATGTTGCAATCTGCAACTTATCAGCTGGGAGACCTTCACTATCCCTCCAACTCCCAGCTCAAGCCTCACCCTACCGGCTCCCTACCACCATGACAGTTGCCCATGCTAGAAGCTTTGAACTAAAAAGAGTAAAATAAAATGTCATGAACCATCCCAAAGAAAAAGGACCCTGGCTCACCAGATGCCAAGTGTCTCCAGTTAGCCTCATTCATGGAGAGTCTTAGTTCAAGCAGAGCTGGTTCGGGAATGGATTATCTAAGAAATGAGCCAGGCTCATGTGAGGAACTTACATGTTAAAGCACAGGACCTAGGACAATGGTTAGGGGATGGGTTGAGCACAGCTCTTCACAGGAAGGGGAATAATTTGAGCCTAGATTGAAGATGAATTAGCAGAGTGAAGAAGTGTGGAGAATGTGTTTGAATGAAGGATAGCGTGCGTGCTCAGATTTCTTGATATACTTTGGGAAGTCTTCCTGCTCCATCTTTAGAAACTGAGACTGAATTGTTCATATTTCTTCAGAGTTAAATAACCTAAAATCCTGAAGTAGATTTTAGGTGTTGTGAGTGATTAGATGTCTCAAATGCCCAGGTCCTGACTGGCTGGTGTCTGTATTCCAGGCTACATTGTCTTCAGTGGGCCTCGTCGAGCCAATGGCATCCAGGGCCTGAGATTCATTATCCAGTCGGAAAAGCCACCTCACTACCTGGAGAGCAGGGTAGAAGCTTTCCTAATCACCATGGAGAAATCCATCGAGGACATGACAGAAGAGGCCTTCCAAAAGCACATTCAAGCACTAGCAATTCGTCGCCTAGACAAACCAAAGAAACTGTCTGCCGAGTGTGCTAAATACTGGGGGGAAATCATCTCCCAGCAGTACAATTTTGACAGAGGTAAAGTAAAATTCAAGCCCCAGCACGGAGACAAAATAGAAAATGTGAAAACATTGAAGCCATTCTGAAAAATGGTATTCATTTTATAAGTGGTATTTCAGTTACTGATGAGGCCTGAGGGCTATTTAAATAACTAAAGGTCTAGTATTTAATATAATTTAGAATTTCCTACTTTATCCCCTCTTTTTCTCCAAAACTGGAGTCAGCCAAATCTTCTCTATATATGATAGTAATGTATTAAAAACAAATTGAAGTCAGGCGCCAATGGCTACACCTATAATCCTAGCTACTCAGGAGGCTGAGATCTGAGGGTCGCAGTTTGAAGCCAGCCCAGGCAGAAAAGTCCCTATAACATTCTTATCTCCAATAAACTATTTTTTTTTCATGGGTATTACCACATTTATTTGTTTATATACCGGAGTTTGAATTCAGGGCCTTGTACCTGCCACACAGGTGCTCTATCACTTCAGACACACCTCCAGCCCCTCTTTTTACTTACAATTTTTGGGGGGGTGGGTCTAAAACGAGGAATCAAACTTGGTGGCTGACTTTTGCCCAGTGGCTAGTGCTCTACCAACTGAGCCACGCCTCCAGCTTTTTTCTTTTCAAGTTACGTTTCCAATATAGGGTTTTGGTTTCTGTTCAGGCTGGCCTAGACTTATACGTTCCACCCTTCCTTCCTTCCTCCTTTCCAAGGCCAGCTATTTGTTTTTGGTGCAAGTACCGGGGTTTGAACTCAGGCCTTTGCGCACCTTAGGCTAGCATTCGACGACATGAACCACAACTAGAACCCGGCTTTTGGTTGGTTGGTTTGGGAGGCTGCCATTTCATGGGCTTTTCTAGCCAGGCTGGCTTCAAATCGTGATCCTCCGGACCTCAGCCTCCTGAGAAGTTAGCATCGTGGGTACAACCCGGTGATTCCGCACAATAAACTATTTTTTTAAAGCTGGAAGTAGCACTGTGGTTCAATTGGTAGAGCAATAGCCTCGAGCACAAAGAGGCTCGGGGACAGCACCCAGGCCGTGAGTTCAAGCCCCAGGGTCAGCCAAAAAAAAAATTGGGGCTGGGAAGGTGGCTCAGTGGTAGAGTGCTTGCCTTGCATGCCTGAGGCCCTGGGTTCGATTCCTCAGCACCACATAAGCAAAAAGAAAAAAGCCAGAAGTGGCGCTGTGGCTCAAGTGGTAGAGCGCTAGCCTTGAGCTGAAGAGCTGAGGGACAGCACCCAGGCCCAGAGTTCAGGCCCCACGACCAGACCCCAAAAAAAAATCTGTTTTTTTTCTTTTTTTGGTACCAGTCCTGAAGCTTAAACTTTGCCTAGGCACTGTCCCTGAGCTTTTTTTTTTTTTTTTTTTATGGTAAAAGCTGAATCTGGGTTGGTTCCACCTGAGGACTTCTGAGGGCCATATATAAGTATTTACCTCATAATTCTGAAAAATGAAAAACTTGTAGACAGTTGTTGCTGTCGAGGCGCAGGGGTTCAAACATTTGCCTTTCGGACTTTGCAGAAGCAGAGGTGTGTGTTAGATGTGTACTTTCTGGTATGGTCGGACTGTGCTTCCTGTCTTCCTGTCTCATCAGTCCACGGTCACCTTTCCTCTAAAGTAGGGGTTAACCACAAAGTGTGCTAAGACACGCAACAAGTCAGAACACCTCGGTGGTATTTTTTATCCTACAGCACTAGCTGAGGGTCTAGGCCACTAACCTTTATCTGTAATTTTTCTTTTTTCTTTTTTCTTTTTTTGTCGGTCGTGGGACTTGAACTCTGGGCCTGGGCGCTGTCCCTCAGCTCTTCAGCTCAAGGCGAGCGCTCTACCACTTGAGCTACAGCGCCGCTTCTGGTTTTCTGGTGGTTTATTGGAGATAGGAGTCTCAAGGTCTCTCCTGCCCGGGCTGGCTTTGAACCGCGATCCTCAGATCTCAGCCTCCTGAGTAGCTAGGATTACAGGCGTGAGCCACCAGTGCCCGGCTATCTGTAATTTTTCTACAATTGGATGCACTATGAATGAAAATAGAGGCTAGCATTTACCATATGCTGATAACACCATGTTATTATATGTCATTTTCTTAATTTTCACTATAGCTTTACTAAGTAGTGTTTTCCCTTAATTTCCAGGTAAGGAAGCTGAGGCTTAGAAACTTCGAAGTGCATTACCTAACCCAGATCAACCAGCTCATAGGAGAAAGCCAGGCTTGGCTCCCAATGTACACTCTCTTACCTATGACAGTACATTTTACTCAAAACCATCTCTTCTACTTTAGAAGCAGATGGCCACTTAAAAATAGGGAAACTTGAGAGGCTTAAAGCATATTATTATTTAGTGTAGTATGTGGCACTGCTTACTGTGGAAATGCTGGTAAATTATTATTTGATTACCTTTTCAGATAACATAGAAGTTGCCTATTTAAAGACACTTACCAAGGAAGATATCATCAAATTCTACAAGGTAAGTTGAATTCATTTAGTTCTGACAGGTGAGGACTTACATGCTGTGTTGTGTGTTGCAGCTTTGAACCCACATAGGCTGGATTTATGAAAGTATTTTATGGATTGGAGTATTTGATACATGTTGACATTATTGAAAAAATAGAGACAATTGTAGAAGAAATACAGACAATACATATTGAAACCAGTGCCATTTTGCTTTCCTTCTGGACCTCATGGGCTATGACAACCCTTCCTGGTTTCTAGATTCCCCTTTTGTCTTATCTATTTCCACATCACCAAACAAAGGACATTAATGAATTGCTTTGGTGAGGAGGAACAGCAAAGAAAACAAAAGAGCTCAACTGGGTACAGTGACTCCCACCTGTAAGCCCAGTTACTTAGGAGACAGAAATAGGATTGTAGTTCAAGGCTACTTCCCCCGCCACCCAAAAAAAAAGATAAGCAAGAGCCTATTCCAACAACACTGGATGAGCTGGGCGGTGGCTCACCCCTATAATCCTATCTGGAGGCTGAGATCTGATGATTATTGTTCAAAGCCAGCTCATAGCTCCAATGCAAAGCACTAGCCTTGAGCGTGAAAGCTCAGGGCAGCCCTAATACTGGCACAAACAAATAAACAAAAAAAACTTGGAAAATCCTATCTGAAAAATAAGGCTCAGTTGTGCTGGTGGCTCACACCTGTAATCCTAGCTACTCAGGAGGCTGAGATCTGAGGATCACAGTTCAAAGCCAGCCTGGGAAGAAAAGTCCATGAGACTCTTATCTCCAATTAACCACCATAAAACTGAAAGTGGTGCTGTGGCTCAAGTGGTAGTGTACTAGCCTTAAGCTGAAGAGCTAAGGGACAGCGCCCAGGCCCAAAGTTCAAGCCCCATGACCAACCAAAAAAAAAAAAAAAAGGCAAGTTCAAGCTGTATAACACTTGCCTGATAAGCACAGGGTCTGAGTTCAAACACTAGTATCACAAAAAAGGGGAGGGGGACCCCTTGAACACAGCACCCACATACAAAGTAATAGTAGTAATTCTTGCCTACACTGTTGAATCTTTGCAGAATTGAGTTAATATGAGGAGAAAACGTAGCATCTTTTCTATATCTACCTGAGTGCTGGCTGATTGTTCCTAGTCATCAGAAAGAACTTCTAAGTTCCTTACTGTGTGTGTAAGTGTGATCTTTCTTTTTTTCTGCCTAGGAAATGTTGGCAGTAGATGCACCAAGGAGACACAAGGTATCCGTCCATGTTCTTGCCAGAGAAATGGATTCTTGTAAGTATTAAAGAGCAACTTCTTTGTTTTTCAGTCTATTTTTAGGCCTAGAGTAAGCCAAATGATGTCTGACTTATTGCTGGAGATTCTTTACCAAGCACTGGAGAGGGAAAGGATAGACAAGAGGAAGCAGGAAATGAAGCAGTAAAGGAGAGCGCCAATGCCAGGTGTCAGTGCCACACTTACTACATTTTTTTCAGGGAAATGCAGATGGTTGCTGGGGGATGTCTCCAGAAGGCTGTATGCTACCACTGCATGTGAGGAGAAAGAAGTTGTTGATCTGCTTAGTTCTGATTATCCCTTGTCTCCTATTCTTGCTGTCCTTTGGCCTTTGGGGCAGTTCAGCTCTACCCTTCCAGTTGGCCAGAGCCTCAGAGTCCAGGCAGATGAGACCTGGGCACTAAAGCTGCTCTGGCCAAAACTATATGACTTCATCAATGTCATCAACCTTCACTGAGGATGCTCCTGGTGTTAGGCAGAACAAGCAATCACATCCTCAGCTGGGAGCAGGCAGCCTGAGAGAATGTGGGAAATGCATGAGCCAAACAGGGCACTGCTTTCTAATCAACTGCCTTGGATTTTTTTTTTTTAAGTTATGTTAGAAGTTGCATTTTCTTCTAGGTCCTGTTGTCGGAGAATTCCCTTGTCAAAATGATATAAATCTGTCACAAGCACCAGCCTTGCCACAAGTAAGAAATATTGCTAGCTCACATTGTCGGAGGACTTTGTCCTTGGGAGATGAATCATCAGGAGACATGGCACTTCGAGGTTTCAGGTCAACAGGTGTCAGAGGGGCTATTTTAGGTCCTGGGGTTCTGGGTCACCCAGCCTCCTGCCTTGTCTGCCTTTGCAGACTGTGTCATTTTGCCGTGAGTCATCTCAGGCTACAGCTGTCCCCAGCACTGAATATTGAAGGAAGAGTGAGACTTCCAGAGTACCTCTGTATTTTAATCACCTAGAAAAATTGGCATTGACCCGCAAGAGGAAAAAACTAGCAACACCACTAAGAGCCTTGCTGGGTGGGCACAGCAGCCACTGTACCCTGGGTGAAGCCTGGGTGGCTAGCCTCCAGGTGAGCCGGCCAGTGTCTTCCTTGGTGAAAGCCAATGTCTTCCTTCTGTCCCAGAGTCCCACTTGCAATAGGTTTGCACATGTCTCTATGACCCCTTGGCCTTACCAATCCTGGAGAAAAGTGAACAGATGACAATATATGGGGCCCTCTCCCCTTTATACACTGTACTTTCTCCCTAAAATAACATTGATAATCCTGTCCCATGTGCTTTCTAAGTTAAACACACTAAAAGAAAGTGTTTTCTTCACAGCCTGAAGTAGTGGAGAACATGACGGAGTTCAAGCGTGGTTTGCCCCTGTTTCCTCTGGTGAAGCCACATATTAACTTCATGGCTGCAAAACTCTGAAGATTCCCCATGTGTGCGGGGGGTGCAAGTGGATGTTCTTACGTCTTCCAGGGCCCGGGAAAACAATCTTGGCCACTTTAGTAGTTTCCGGTTCATTATTAGAGAGACCAACAAGAAAAACAGAAGTTCTCAAATATCATTATGTAGAAATATTTAAAACCCAAAGTAATTAAATTTCAAAATCTTATAGATATAGAATATTTTTAAAAAATACATGCCTCCTAAGTATTTTAAATTTTTTTCTCTTTTTCATTCCTAAGAAATGATTCCCCCCTATATAACTGCTTTTAAAATGATGACCGATACTCTGATAGCATTTCTCTTCCCGTTCTGTAAGGGAGTCAAGTGTCCAGAAGAATGAAAGTGAGCTATTCTCTAAAATCTTCCCAGGCTGACAGAGAAGGCTTCAAAACATTTAGCAAGGTAATTGCCTCTGGGAAAATCCTCCCATTTTCCTTCTACTTGATGGTTTTCATGTCAATCAGTGGAGAATGTTACATTTGGCAGATGACATACAGAGCAATGTCATTTTCTTTTATTAGTGAAATTGCTGATTCTGTAAGGCATGGTTTTAACCTTTTTATAAAAAAAGAATTTGAACATGTTTTTTTATTCCAACTAGTTAAATGCTGGAAATCCTAGAATGCCCTTATTTATAGTGCTATAAAAACAGATTTACCTTTCATCAACTTTGTCCCAAATTGACTTTCTCAGGATGACTGTGGGGTTTTTTTTCTGATTGACATTCTTTATTGGTCACAGCTGGTTTGCGGTGTTCCCTCAGTTTTACTTTTTCTCATCAACACATTGCTGTATTTACTTTAAAGGTATAAGTGCTGTCTGCTTCTGATCCTACTGAGTGTGTGACATGCTTTTCCCACATCAGCCATTGTTAACGCCACACAATTTTTTACTCAGATGAAATTACAGTCCGTGTGTGAACCGAAAGGTTTTGCTCCCTTTAGGAATTTTAAAAAGAGGCAAAATCAAAGCCACCTGGAGATACAAAAAAAAAGTTGTTTTTTTTTTTTAATAGCAAGTCTCCACAAGACTCTAAAATCCCCTTTGCTGCCTGCCTTAAGTATTCATTTTTTTTGAAAATATAAGTAGATAACACAAATATGACTAGAGTGGACTTTAAAAATATTTTTTTCATGGAATACTATTTTAGATGAAATTGTTACTGGAACTTTCACAGCTGTTTTTAAAATAGTTACTGTTATTCAAACTTGCTTCAAGAGAAATTGCGGCTATATTTCCATATACAGGCACTGGTAACCAGAAGTAGTCCTTTTATCCCCAGACTCAGACCAAGTAAAGAATGGCCTTCCAGATGACATTTTACCTCCCGATGTGATCTGATTTTCCAGGACTTCTTTCTATTCAGTCATGTCTGTCCTTATCTTCAGTTTAGTCTCAATTTGAGGCAAGAATGATAGTCAAAGATGGATGCTGCTTGCAACAGGGTGCTCTGTCTCCACTGTCAGGCCAACGTGGTGCTGTTACTGTCTTTTTATCCACACCTTCAAGTACGGTACGAAGCCTGTCTCTTCCATCAGAAGGCTTGTGAGCTCATCACTCCCTTCTGCTTTTATGCATTTGTAGACTATGCAGCTTTTCTTCGGATTGCAGATATCTATACAAGGTGAATCTAAAACTAATCTTGAGTGTTTAAACCCCTTACTAAAAGAAAAATCCACCAACCTTTTCTGTGGAGAAGTGCATGATGTAGATCTTTTTTTTAAAAAAAAAACCAAAATGGTGGAATTCAAGTGTCGATTTTAGGAGGAAAAGTACCTGAGGACATCTGAAGGCAATCACACCGAGTCTTCCATGAACTTGAACTTGTAATTCAGTGTGCTCTCAGCATTTGCTGGCTTCCAAATTGAATGTGAGCAGCTGTCGGGTCTCTTGGGCATACTAATAGAGGCATTTCAATGGGTCCCAGCTGCAGTCCATGAGCAATAACAGACTACCCCAGATACTGCTGTTTACTCAGTGCTTAGTAAATGAGACTTGGAAAATTCACACACTAAGTTATTAGTTACTGAGGACTTTTTTTTAAGAAGTCTTCTTTTTGACTAGTTGATGTGAAGGAGAGAGCATGTGACACAGCCAGTATGGTGGAGCCCTAGGAATATCCTGTTTACAAATAAATCACTTGAATTTAAACTCTTGTCTGCACATGTGTTACTTTTGAAAGTTTTCAGCCTAATTCTAAACATCTGAATTTGATAAACATTTCTTGTTCTCATTCCTAATGCAGAAAGCAGTGACTTGTCGCATATACACATGTCTATGTACACACATACATGTACATACGTGTATACACCAAAATGTATCAGAGTATACCTGGTATAACTTCACAGGCTTATGAATAGATCACTTTTGTGAACTCCTGGCTGAGGATTGTCACTGACCTGAAACCCTGAAAGATTGATCTGGCCTTACAGAGAAGAAAAGAACAAAATATCTCTTTAGAGCCACATCTCCAGCTGCACGCTGGGCAATGTCTTCAAGCTCTGCTCCCTGACTCCAGTCAGTAGAAACTTTCCGCTCACCCCTCAGTGTCCAGCCCATTGCAGCAGTGCAGCCCACTCAGTCAGCATTGTGCTTATGATACCACAACCTGGCCCAGAGACCAGGAGCCAAGGCTTAGGGCAGACTTCTTGTGTTATAGAACACAAGGGCAACCAACAGGTGCCTCTACTTTATAGTCTTTTTAATTAATCAGAATTCCAATCAGCTCTGTAGACATTAGGTCTCTGCTCCATGCCACTTCCTGTAATAATACCAGGATACTTGTGAAACTAGTATGTCACATGGCCTTCCTCACCCGCACTCACTTGATTATGACCTTTGTAAGACCAGATCTCTGGTCTGTGATTTTCTCCTCCTGCTTGCCTAAATGATCACCACTCAGCAGGACCTCCACCCTCACCCCTACTCTGGCATGGTGTTCAGGTTAGTCCAATTCATACCCTCTGGCCTGCTAAGGCCTTAAGTCCACAGAAACTTCACTTCCTGTTACCTTTGGAGCAATAGAGATCTGGAATCCTTCAAGAACATAAAGAGCCAAGTTCACCTGACACCATCGCTCAGATACAGCCACTCTTGTTTCTTTTTTTTTTTTTATTTTCCAACCCTGAGGCTTGAACTCAGGGCCTGGGCAGTGTCCCTGAGCTTCTTTTGCATATAGCTAACACTCTACCACTTAAGCCACATCACACTTCTGGCTTTTTCTGTTTATATGTGGTACTGAGGACTCGAACCCAGGGCTTCATGCTTGCAAGGCAAGCACTCTAAGCCACATTCTCAGCCCCCACTCTTGTTTCTTATGGTCTTTTGGCCCCAGTAAATTTGCCAATTTAAATGAGGTAAGTAGATTCCTTGAAAGATACAAATTACCAGAACATACATGAAATAAAAGATTGGGTTATCCTCAGGAAATTAGACTCATAAGTAACTTTTCCCACAGGGCTGGGAAGACGGTGTAGTGATAGAAAGCAAAACTCTTCCTACAAAGAAAATTCTAGGCCCTAATGTCTTCACTGGCAAGTTCTAGCAAATTATACCAACATTAAGGAATAAACAAGGGAACTTCCCAACCCAGTACTATTTACTGTAGTCACAGAATTAAAGAAAAACATGATTATTTCAATAGATAAAGCATTTAATGACTTATAATGAAAACTCCAGCAAACAAAAGGAACTTCCCAACCTAATAAAAGAAATTGTTGAGCCAGCCACAGGTCACATTTAACAGCAAAATACTGAACATTTTCCTCTTCAGATATGCACAAGAACACTTGTATTTAAACTTGCCTTTGGGGTCCTAGTCAAAGCAGTGAGGCATACAGAAGCCACATGATCACCAACACAGGACTACAAAAATAATACTCCTAATAAGATTACAGGAGAAAAATTAACATCTGGCCTGGTTTTGAATAGATGATCTTACTCCTGCCCCAGAATAGCTGAAATGACAGGCACACATCACCAAGCTTGGCTGGTACACATCAATTCACAAAGCCCACAGGGAAGAAACAACAAATCAACAAAGCTTACATAGGCTAACTCCACAAAAACCTGCTCAGTTCTCTTACTGTTCAGCAGCACTCATTTGTTGCTTAGTTGGCCCCTTAGCTGTTGGACCCTGACAAAGCTCTTACTACTGCTTGGTAATTTCTTTTTCTTTTTTTTTAATAGTGAAAATACCATACAGAGGGGTTACAACTACATGGGTAAGATAATGAGTACATCTCTTATCAAGCATTGTTGCCTCCTTTGTTTGCTTGGTAATTCTTTTTTTTTTGGGTCCGGTTGTGGGGCCTGAACTCTGGGCCTGGGCACTGTCCCTCAGCTCTTCAGCTCAAGGCTAGCACTCTACCACTTGAGCCACAGC